TGTGGCCATTGCTATAGCAGAACTACTATCTGTGAAAACAGAGACAGGTGTAGTAAAAGGAAAATTTAACTCAGTACAGAGAGATGAAAGCCACTGTATTTCACAGGATGTATAGGCTAGTGCTCTATACTCAGCCTCAGCAGATGATCTGCTTATGGTGGGCTGTTTCTTGGATTTCCAGGAAATGAGAGAGTCCCCAAGAAATATTAAGTAACCAGTGACACTTCTTCTTGTATCAATACAAGAAGCCCAGTCACTGTCACAGAAAGCAGTAAGTTGTAATTTAGAAGAGTTAGGAAAGAGTATACCTTGGCCAATGGAACCTTTAACATACCTGAGTACCCTCTGAGCAGAAATAAGATGTTGTTCAGTTGGTTTAGACATAAATTGGCTTAAGGACTGAACAGAATATGCAATGTCTGGCCTGCTTATGGTTAGATACAATAATCTACCTACAAGCCTTCTAAACTCAGATGGATCAGTTAAAACAGGAGAGTTATCATATTTACTCAATTTCAAAGAGGCATCCATTGGAGTAACAGCAGGTTTGCATGCAAGAAGACCAGTATCAGTGAGAATATCAAGGGCATATTTCCTTTGACACATGTGAATACCTTTATCAGAATGAGCAAATTCAAGGCCTAATATGTACTTGAGTTTGCCTAAATCTTTGATGGTAAAGCAGTCATCTAAATGTTGTTTAATATCATTGATTTTATCCATGTTGTTACCAGTCAAAATTATGTCATCAACATAGACAAGCAGTACAGTAATAGAGGCAGAATCATGCATAAAGAATAGAGAACAGTCTGCAATAGATTGAGTGAATCCATAAGATAATAAACAAAAAGTTAATTTTTGAAACCATTGCCTTGAGGCTTGTTTCAAACCATAGAGGCTTTTAGTCAATTTGCAAACTCTTGTTTCAGAAGAAGAACAGTAACCAGGAGGTAAAGACATATAAACTTCTTCATTGAGATCACCATGTAAAAATGCATTATTTACA